TGGATGAGGGGGCAGATTGGGGTACGTGTCTGCCTCTGCCAGTGTCACGGTCCGCAAGATTAAGAGAAATATAGTGCGGCAAAGCACGATACATAAGTAGCGGAAAAATGCTGAGAATGCTTCACAAAATAAAACAAATAATTCACCGATTCAAATTTTAATAATGCCTAAAAACGAATTAAATAAAAACAAACTAATGATCTTTAACTGAACACTACGACATGTCGACAACACAGAAAAACATGTTTTGCCCAAATTTCATGCATATCGACCACAAATTCATGCATATCGACATGATGTCGACAAAGTGGCTACACCCCCTTAATAGGGTGTCACCCTATAGCCGTGAAGAAAATGTGTTAAAAATTTCAGGTCGCTGCGACAAACCATTCTCGAGTTATAGTGTTGACAGACAGACAGACGGACAGACTAACTAACCGATCGCATAAAGTAGCCTGCGCTACTTAATAGAGGCTTGATTATCAAAGTTAGTGTTCTCAGCGGTGGATTTTTTGTGTAACTTGTTTTCCTTGCGTATTTAGGAAATGTGTTGGTGTTTGTGGTAAATGAGTGTTTTTAGGAACCCTGACTGATGTATGTATGCAGTTACTTCTTACTGGGTCGTCCTGCCACGGGACAACTAATTGCACAGAGGTTTAGTTGTGATTAATATTTTTATTTGGGTAGGTTACAAGATTGGTTAAGAATTATCGTGACAATAAATGTGGGGTGAGTTTGGTACAAGTTAATTTTTATGGCAGCGTTTTATGAGAGTTGTTATTTATAAGAAATGGGTCGGGTTTACGTAGAAATTTGAGGGTGCGAGTTATTCGAATTTTATCAATTTATACGGAAATTAAAAGATGGTATTAAGTATAAACAAACGGTCCATACTTTGATACATATATTACGAATCAAATTGTGAAATTAAAGTCACCAGTTGAAGATAAGAATTTGCATTAATTTAATCGCACTTATAAATATTAATTAAGTGTGTACATAAATTACGAAGTGTGTAGGTGGAACATGTCCAACTAATTGGGATAAGGGGAGGTGATTGGCAAAGGAGGAACGAACATACATACACTCTAAGCAAAATTTTAATGAATCATTACTGCGCGGAGTGCATATATGACTCTACCACGATAGTAATGATTTGGTATTAAAACAATACTGTATGGTAAAAAAGTAACACAAATTAGTGTTAAAATTATTACCAAAGAGTGTTATTTTATTACTAAATCTATACCCACATGGTGTAAATGTTTAATTCCGTCACGGTAGAGTCATATATCTACTCCGCTGGTTTTTTTTATTACCAAGTTGCTAAGAGTGTACTTAAGCACAAGCATTGCTGCTGTGAAGTGCGATATCATACAAAAAGGCAAAGTTTAACGGTCAGTAAGTACATATCTGCTCGTTATTGTGGAACTCTTATGTAAGTTAAGCTAGAGTGTTGAGTGTGCCGTTCTGGTTGGATTTGCACCCATCTTCCATACAGCTCACCGTAGACTACAGAATTTTGGGTGTACTCACGTTATACGAGAATGAGAGATTTCGTCTTCTCGCCTTTAAACTATGAAGCCACCATATGATTGCAACCGTCGTTTCTCATTCATACTCTTTAACGAAACTATTTATTTTCCCCACATTACGGAGGTTGACGTGAATTGCCCTAAATCTTATGCTTTATAAAATTGATGTAATTCACAATTTCTCCTCCACTTCGAGCATACCTGCTGGATTTTAAATAAACCTGAATAGCAAAAATTACCACTATGGTATCAAAATTTCGCATTTTTTCATTTTCAAAATTTCAAACACGAAAAATTTGAGATCAGGATATAAAATAAAATAAATAAATATAAATAAACGTCTGTAAATAAAAGACGATGTTTGAAAATATGCAAATTTTGTCATTCTTTCTGAAGACTACATATACATTTTGAATTTAGTTGTTTTTGAAATCCATTTTATAAAAAAACGCTAGACAAATATTCTTATGAGGTTTACAATTCGTTAATTCTTATCAGAATCGCACTTCAGTTTAATTTGAAGGGAGAAGCCTGGTTGTTCTGAAAAATATGCAAATTTTTTAAATAATGATTTTCATTTTCAAAGCAAATTTCTTACCATCCGGAGAAATGAGTGGAAAAACTGCTATTTGATCAAAATTAAAGAAAAATTCCTACTTTTATTTCAGTATAAGACTTTGTACAATTTAAACTAAATTATTGAATTTCAAATGTACAGCAAGTATTAAACTATTCAAATTTTGCTATTCAAATTTTGAAAATTATTCAGATTTCATTTATAATGGTTCTCGTTTCAAATTTCAATTAAATTTTATTTTCAAATAATCAAAAACGTTAACCCTTCAGATTCCAAATATTGATTACGACAAACTTTTATATTTTTATTTCTGCGTAAAACAACGCAAAATTAAAAATAAAATCTTCAAGGCTATAAATATATAAAAACGATCATTATCATCTTTGGAAAAAAATGTCAACTTTTGCAAAACTTTCAATTTGAAAATATTCGAATTGTGTGCTGAAATATAGTCAAACCTTTTTGCAAAAAATATTCAGAATTTGTGTTCGTAGTGGTTTCCGTGTTGACAATAAATTTGCGTGATCAAGAGACCTGGACTAAATTACTCATAAGGAAAATGTTAATATGTTTATTTTGGCGTGAAAATTGATAAAGTTAAAAAATACCGCATCAATGTATGTTTCACGGGATGAGATTTATGAACAGAGTGTCACTTGTTTGAAATTTGAAGTTACAAACATTATAGAAAATGTGAATCTGATACTACTTTTCTGAATGTATAAAATTTCTATATTTTTTATCCCAGACACTAAGTTGGGTTAGACGGCGCATTTTATGAGAACACGGGGAAGATATCGTACATCCACCACCTCCAATACCAACATCAAAATGGATTCGTTGGCCAAATGTGTAAGTAAAAGTACAATGGAGTTAAATGTCAAAACTTTCAGAACCGCCAGGTCGAGATTAACAGCGCAGAATAAAAATGTTAATTCAAGAAGCAAAACAACTACCGTAAAAACTCAAATAGTAGCCTTATGCTCAACCATGTTGTAGCCGGGCCCAGTCACCAATTTTGTAAATAGTAGCCCCGGCTACTACTTGAGTTTTTACGGTATGTTTACCCAAGTTAGAGGCAAATATCAACCATACTCGATCCTTCCAATTTTTGCCGAGATTCCACAATCTTCAACTTTCTTCCCCTACCTGTTTAAAAAACTAAATACGTCCCCCAATCTTGTACTGAATACCATCGTCGTCCGAACTCTTCACACAACATTATTCGTTCTTCAATTTTTTGATAAGTACTTATCCGCACCCGATAATAATAAACCAAACCCAATGAAGTACACATAATACTTCTTGCACGATTGAGATAAGGATATAATGAATTATATTTTTTATATATTTATAGCGTGCAGGATTTTAACTTTGGGTTGTTCCACGCCGAAATAGAAATATAAAAATTTTTCCTAATAAGTTTTTTCACTCAGATTGGTTACCGGGTTTTTTAGTTTTGAAAATCGAATTTAATTGAAATTCAATTTGAAATGAAACCCATTATGAACACAAAATCTGAATATTTTTCAGAACAAGTGGACGCGTTATTAACAACCTGTCGAATTATTAACGACCTTTCTTTTGTTTACAAAATTTCAAATCAAATAGTATGCTTAACGGATTCGTTTTAACAAAGTTTATTTATTAGATGCACACCAAATTAGCAAATTCTGCCCATATGTACCTATTGAATAATGTGCTAATAGCGAAAACTAAATTCCATGTTTCAATCGTGGAAAAATTAATACGGAAAATGCAATTAGTTTTCAAAATTCAGCCAATTAGAAAATGGGGGTCCGTAATCAAGGCAAATTCTGGTTGAAAAGAATTTTATCAATTATTTCCAGGCATATTTGACTCAAGTTTGACGATTTGGAGACAAAAATCAAAAATATATGAGATTTTTCAGGTCAAAGTTGCGGTGGGGGCCACCTTATATGGCAAGAGCCGTAACAAAACCCCGGTCAACGTATCTAAATTTTGCGTAAGGAGCAAAATGAGACAGATTCTCCTACGCCACTTGGGTAGTGGTGGAGCACACGCGACAGAATTCGAGTTTTTCTCTCGCTGGAGGGAAATGGATCTGCATGCACAGTACATTTGATATGACTCATGTATAATTACTAGTGTCAATTTAATTTGATGTGCAATTTGGGAGTTTCCGATTATACCGTAAATAAACCGTTACAACGCATGTAACCAAGGGGTGAAAGGAGTGTCATACGTCAATGTGAATATCAAATTGTTCGAAAATTTGTTAAGATTGACACTTCTGACGTGTTTTCGACTTTTGTGTCTTATTTGTGTCAAATTTAACAGTTGATAACCCTTATGTGACCTTTATATGACCTCTGAGGTCAAAATGGAGGTCACCATTGAATTCGGGTTTAAATTTCAGTTGAAATTGAAATAGATATGTCCTATGACCTTTACATGACCTCTGAGGTCAAAATGGAGGTCACCATTGAATTTGACATTGAAAAATAGTTAAAAATGATGTGTCAATGTCAAAACTGACAAGTGACACTTTTTCGTCACTTTTCGTCACCGTGACGATGTCGTCGTCACAGGTGACGTCCAAACACAAAATGACATGAATTTTCGAATTCCTCATTGAAAATTAGTTAAAAATGATGTGTCACATGTCAAAACTGACACGTGACACTTTTTCGTCACTTTTCGTCACTGTGACGACGTCATCGTCACAGGTGACGATGTCACAGTGTCCATCTTCGAACTCGTCCTGTCCATTGACGTTAGGAGTTTACGTTCAAAATTTCAAGTGTCTATGTCTTTTCGTTCAAAAGTTATCGGAGCTACGGACGGACGGACGGACGGACGGACAGACGGACATAACGATCTTATAAAGGGCTTTCACCCCTTAATAAGTGTGAAACGTGACTTTACTGCAATGAGTTAAGGAGTTTCTATGTTTGTGAATTAAGACTACATAATTTTATGCGTATCGGTATAAATATTAGTTATGCAAGATTGGCAATAAATCCGATGATGCAGGCGCCCCAGGCCGTGTAAGGGTTGACTTTCTTGGCCGCCTCCTTGACAGTGTCCCACAACGAGGCATCTACCGTTACGACCATGGAGGACAGCGGGACGGCGAAGATCAGGAGGATGGCGACAGTTGAGAAGATGTGGGTGCGCCTCATGGTGAATATTTGTGCAAGCTGTCCACCTGTTAAGGAATTAAGTAGTATTAAATTTCTGTAATGAAATGAAAATTTATGGAAAAAATATTTAGTTGACAAATAAATTTACCAGATGTGTGAAATTAAATTACCGTAAATGAAATTTTGTGTAGACGAAGGACCGTATTTTTTTATGAGTGGTAGAGTCTGAAGTGGATGGGTTGCCGAAGTTGAGTCGAATTTATGCATTTTGATTATTTATTTAAAGAGTGTCTTCCTGTATTGATGTTTACTTACTTATGTAAATAATTTATCGGTAGAGTTTCCTGGTTATGAAATCGAGTGAGTTTTCTAGCGAGAGTATTTAAAAGTTTGTATACAATACATGTTAGATATGAAGTGGGGCTGGACAAACAGGTTTTAAGCATATGCAATATTGACTGTACAATAATGCAGAGCTATGACTTGGTAAATATGTGGCGAAAATAAGTTTCGGTAGGACCAGGAAGTAGCGTTGACGTGGAAAGATAACCAGGATGATGAGGTCCTTCGGTTATTAAAAACAGATAACCTCATACTTATGTAAGTTATGTGAATATGTGCAAAGTAGAGAAGTATTTGTAAATCTAAAGTACTGGGATTGACACGACTTTGAGGGTGATGCATGGAAATAGTAGCATTTTGCTATTGACGTCAGAAGTCAAAAGTAAATAAACTGATTATTTTCAGGTACAGAGTTCAACCTCATAGTAGGTAAGATTCATTGTGCTTGTTGAATTGTGTGTTGATTAAATAGTTTAATGCTTATACGCATTTACGGAAATGTGTTTACATTTTGCAAATTTACGTATTCCAATCTTTGTGTATTGATGCGTATATACTTTGAACCCATTTGTCATGTCCGTCTATGTTGTTCTTTATGAAATACAGAGAGTATGTGGCTAACGCTTTTCTGTTTCTGGGAGCAAATTCAGATGTTTATGGATTTAAGTTAGCATAAGTGCATAGTATTGCTAGTTACCTAGTGTCAAATGACACTAGGAAAATGAGATTGGGAAAGGAATGATGCATATGTAAGTACGTTTTCCCTGGTTTTCTGGGAAACTAAATTTTTGATAATTGACAAATTAAAACTGGGCCCATCAAGATCTGAATATTACGTGAAAAAAACTGCCTGGTTAGATTAGACCACCTTATAATGTAGAACTTTACGAAGACATTTTAAGCAGGGGATCGTGGAAACTGTGGAGTAATGAAAATCTAACCATGGACGTAGCTGGAATTTGTTATACAAGTATGAGCAGATGATGGGAACATCTAACGAGGGGACATGTTCATGGTGACCCTGTGATCGGGCAGAGGCAATAAGCAATAGATGATTACATTCATACAATTGTTCATTAGCCTATTGTTCCCACTGTTTCGGTAGACCTACCTGGTTCCACGGGCACCACGAAACATTCTGGTTAATTATTATTTTCCTAATTTTATTTGCATCGATAAATTTAACATTGCAATTAATAAATTCTGCGTATGTCCTGCTAGTTAAGTAGTTATGGTGGGAGACTTAAGCAGCCGTAACGGACACGGTAACCCTGCCACAGAGCATGAGTGCCTGGGTAGCCTCGTTGAACACTTCAGCACTGACGGGAGCAGTGTTCCCCACGAGGAGGCTGGAGGGTGTGATGGACCACCGGATCGTGTATTGGGAATCCGGAACAACGGAGGAGTTTGGAAGCGTACTGTCAATGATGACCACAGTTTGCCCCATGAAGACGGTCGAGATCTTGAGACGAAGCTCTGCCGCGGCGTCGGCGGGAATAATGTCAGCCTCGGAGGGATACGGGGTTCCCACGACCATATGGGCGATGGGGCCTTGACAATTTTCGATCCTCACCTCGCGAACCTGGCCAGCACCACCTGGGGAAATGAGAGATATAGCTTTTAAATGGGACGGCGGGATATTAATTTACATTGTAAAGGGCAATTAATACTGGCGGGCTAAAAATAGTTTTGTTGAAAATTGAGTGAAAATATTACCACAGGGCTGGTGTTCAACCACTCCGGCGGAGCAGGCGACAATGCAGAAGGCAATGATGGCGAAGGTCTTCATTTTGTGGGAATTTTCTATTGTTTTTATTTATTTACGGGATAGGCCTGAAGTAGGAGAAGTGGACTGAATTTGTTTGGCATCAAAACTCCTCTTTTATAGCGGGTTGATTTTTATACAAGTTGTTAGTTAATACTCGTTCTAGGTCATAAATACTTGGGATTTAGATATCTTATCGGTTTGGCTTATGTGGAAATTGTGTAAGGTTACCAATTAGGCGTGATAGGATGCATGTTTAAATATGCCGGTCTCACATCGCGGCAACACCTGGTGAGATTATGTGGAACTAAATACAGAAATCATCCACGTGGGGTAGAAAGCGCCAAGGTTTGAGCGTGAAAAGCGAGCAGGGTTTCCCTCGTTGTGGTCCCTAGTTGGGGTTTTGCTCCAATTTGGAACAAGCCTTACATATTAAAATCGAAAATGGCGGCAAACACGAAAGGTCGGTAACGTTAGGCTTAAATTTGCCATTTGAAACTAAGCAATATGTGGCGGTAGAATAACGTCCTACCTTGAGATAAGAAGCGTGATTTCCTCCGCTGCATATGTGAGATCTCGTCAAATTTACATATTTCCCGCCTTGTTTAAAACTTTTGTTTTAATAATATTCTCGCCGGCAACCTTTGCCGCTGGAATGTCCTGACGCAAGAGTTGATTTACGCAATCATGTAATCAAACCCGATATTGTTGGGATTTGGTAAAGGATTTATTTATGTTAAGCTAGCAGAGTAAAAACATTTAAGAGGGGTAATCAATCCATCAAAGTAGGAAATGAGGACAAGGTTCAGCCAGATAAATATGTACAGGAATTTAATTGTTTCGTTTAACTGGGTATGCGTAGATAACTGTACTCCATAATTGACCATCCAATGCAATTGAGGTGCATAGTTCAATTTATGTATTTATGTATACAAATCTCTAAATCTCAAAAATTGTATACTAGCATTTTACTTTATTTTTCATTGAGATGGTCCACGAGAAATTGGGGCGATGGCAGTATTTAGAAGGGAAATGGTCAAATACTAATTTTTAAAACAGAATATTGTAATTCGATCTGCCATCGCAATTCCTACGGACAAATCTGACTTTCATGCACTTACAAGGAGTGACCGTCAGTGCCAGCCCGTGACTCTGGACTCCAATGTTGGCGAACCAATCCCCTAGAGAATCGCGGTGGTGGCTGCGTTCCGGATACCGTTCACGCAGTATGTCAGATAAATAAATAAAAACTATTAAATGTCAAATTCGATGCAAATTAATACTATTTGACCTGAATGGTGTGGTGAATATGGGCATGGCCTAAAAATTGTCGAAATTACAAAAAAACTCAAAACTCAACAAGTAAATATGAAAACTTTCAGAAAATAAAAATGGTTATGGGATTTTAGCGATAATTTTTTTACAAATCCAGTTATTAGTGTGCAGTTTTTTATTTTTATATTTAACAATTTGTCCGAAATTTAGCGAAATTTCCTTTAAAATGACTTCCCGTATGAAAATATACAATATCAGGATGATATCTTCCACATGTCATTTCAAGACGTTGACTGATATCTATTTAAGGATATCACACTGATGTCCACAGGATATCTAAAGTAGACATGTGTGAGGTCATGATATCCTAAATGTGTCACTTAATTGACTTGCTGATGATATCATTAAAAGACAAACTAATGATATCGGAACTACACCTTTTCCTGATATCGGCATTATGACTTGTTTCTGACATCAAAACAACTGCTCTTTGATCGGGTGCTGGATATTTCACAAGTCCAATTAATTCTGTAGTAGAAAATATTCTACATTTTCCATCTTATTAACAATGCGAAAAACCGTTGTTGGAGAGAAACGTATATTACAACGTGCTAAACAAGAAATTAAAAAAGTATCTCTTAACACATTTCGCCAACTGCCAGCCCCAGCTATAATCCAACCGGCAGTAATAGTTTTAGAAAATTACGGAGGTCAGGAAACTAGTAATATTTCTGGTTAAAGTGCTTCTAAAAGTTGCGACGACAGTACTCCATAATGTCGGGTAAGTTTCCAAACAATGAAACTATCCACGTATATAAATACTTAATCAAAATAAGTCATTCTATTTAGTAATATTAACTTGATATTAACAGAATCAGCGATGGATAAAATTCCTGACGTGACCGAGAAGGAGATTTCCAAAGCTATTATTTCGTGGTTCCAGCACCCTAGTGATCGACTTAAAGCAAAAAAGAATAGGTTATCATAAATTTGTTTACTAAATTTGTTGTTTTTACCCAAACTGCTAATGTAATGACTAATTAGTTAATTAATATTTAAAAGCAAAATAAAAAGAATACGATAAAAGCGATGAAATTACTAGATATCATTAAGACATCAATATGACATCATTAACTGATATAAATGAGATATATCAAGGATATCCAAAGGAGCTCGAATCCGTGTAATTTAATGACATCGCTACGATATCTACAAGAACATCAATGAGACATCAAAAGTCGCGAAATAGCGACACGCTGAGGACATACACTGACATGTTACGGACATGAATTGATATCCTCAGGATATACAGAGGTCATCGTTTTTTTATCATTATGATATCATCCAGATATAAAATTGATCCAGAGATTATAATCTCTTAATATGATGAGTACATAGTTATGTCTTGCTTTTAAGTGCAAGACACACAATATTAACCTAGGCATGAAATGCAGCAGAACTAATTCGAAATCGACATTTTTTATAAAGATTGGTGGATCGATCATTAGTCTCAAGTATAGTATTTTTTAGCATGCAATAAATGAATTCTTCACGAAATTATTGTAATTTTTTATATAGTGTGAGTCTGACCACGTCGGAAATAACTCTCAGCGGTATGGAATTGTTTGTACAGTGCGTGGAGTCGACTCCAAGTGGCAGTTTCTCGGTGAACCTTTTCGATAGGTAAACTGAACAGATTTCAATGCCGTAATGATTAAAAAATTATTAATATTTAATTAAATGTTTACAAATTAAGTTCAAATTCTATGGCAAGTTAAGCTGTAAAACTAACAGTAACCTCGGTAGAACAGGTCAAAGTTGACAACATGGCAGAGTTTAGCAAATATCAGAGTCTTTTAGGACGGGGCAGTTATGGCGTCGTCTTTAAGGCAGAAAGAGTCGATTCGAGGACAAACTTAGCTATTTTTAAGTTGGGGGATGGCGTGGTTGAACTCGAGACGACATTT